AGCCATTCCCTGTGTCCTGTCCCTCCATCCCTGTCCCCAGTCCCTCTCCAGCTCTCCTGGAGCCCCTCCAGGCCCTGCCAGGGGCTCTGAGCTCTCCCTGGAGCTTCTCCTCTCCAGGGGAACATTCCCAGCTCTCCCAGCCTGGCTCCAGCCCTGAGCAGCTCTGGGGCCTCTCTGGATCTGTCCAGCAGCTCCAGCTCCCTGTGCTGCTGGATCAGGGCTGGCACCTGTGATCTGTGTGACCTTTCCTGTTGCTCCCTTTGGCTGCTCCCTGAGGGCTCCAGCTGTGGATGTGGGCAGAGGAAAGGTGGAGCAGGAGCAGCTGTAACAATGGGGATAGCTGGGAACAGAGCCCCACTCCAGGATAAGTGTAAAACCTGGACTTCACCATGAACGTTCCAACAATTCCTTGTAACAACTCAAAGATGAGAGGATTTGCTATTTAAAGTAAACCACAGGTTTCCTACATCTGCTGGCTGGCTTTTCCCACTGGGATAATGTGAGAAATTGGAATCTAACAGCACCTGGATGAACCTGTCCTTTTACAGGGAAAATCTTTCCTCCTGCAGGTATTCTGGGGTTCAGGAACTTTTCCACTAACACCAACTTGTGCTGTGTCAGTTCTGTCTCCTGCTGCTGCTGTGTTGAATAACAGCAAACTAAAAAACATATCTTAAAAAAAATAAAAAGCTTAAACTCACAGATGTGCCTTCCTTCCCCAGGCAAGGCAGAGGAGCCCAAAGCAGCCGAGGCCGTGAGTGGGAACGACATCTCAGCTCCCCCCAACAAGGAGCTGCCCCCCAGCCCCGAGAAGAAGACCAAGGTAGGAGCTGTTCCCTGCTCCCATCTCTGCTCCCAGGGCTTTCATTTATTTCCCAGCTTTTCTGCTTCCTCAGCTGTGCCAGCCACGCTTCTGTTTTCTGAGCTGCCCCTGCAGCAAACCCGCCCAGTTCGGAGCTGCCCGTGGCAAACTCTGATCAAAGTGTGCAAACTCCATTTCAGTGAATTCCTGCCTGCTGCAGTGACTGTAGCAGTAGTAAACACAGAGTAAACGTGTAGTAACCCCTGTGCTCAGCCATACTCTGGGAGTCTTTCCCAGCCCATTTCAGAGCCCTGCTCAGCCCCTCTGGCTTTGGAGCTGTGCTCTCAGGAGCCCCCAGCACACAGCAGGGTCCCCCCAGTGTCCCCAGCAGGGCTGGGGCCAGGGGCTCTGTCCCCTCCAGGCCCTGCCCGTGTGACCACGGGAGCTGATCCCAGGGGATTTGGAGCTGCAATCCCTGCGTGCCCATAATTGGAAAGCCACGGCCGTGGATTGCACGTAGCCCTGGATGCCAGGAGCGCCCAATTACTAATCCAGCTTTACCAGCCATTCCTTCTGTTGCCTTCCATGCTGCTGAAATAAATCTGTTGGTTTGGAATTGAATGGCAGAACACCCCCAGCTCCAGAGGCTGCTGCATTTTGGTCTTTGTTGCACTCAGAAAACAGAAAATTATTATTATTATTATTATTATTATTATTATTATTATTATTATTATTATTATTATTATTATTATTATTTTCCTTTAAAATATCACTTTTCTGTTGTTGCAGCTCAGTGTTTTGGTTTACAATGCGCTATTTTTTGTTGTATTTCTTTGGTTTTATCCTGGATTTTGCTTTTTGGCCCAACCCTAAAGCCTGCTGCATCCTCCTCCTCGGCCAAGGCGGCGGCAGCCAAGGCCAAGCCGTCGGGCAGCAGCAGCCCCAAGCGGCCCAGCTCGGCCACCCCGGGCACAAACAAAAAGCCCACGAGCCCGAGTGCAGCTCCTGCTCCAGGCAGCACCTCCAAACGCCCCGGCACCAGCAGCACCCGTCCCTCCACCCTCACTCCAAAAGAGACTAAACCAAAGGTAAGAACTGCCTGGTGCTGGGGGCACCAGGGCTCGCTGCAGGGCAGGCTGCCAGCCCTCAGCCACGGGGCAGGGCAGAATTGCTGGGCTAGGTGAGATCAGGAGGGGCACTCAGTGTCCCTGGCACTGAACTGTGTCACCACAGAGGAGAATTAAACCTGAGTGTAGTGCTGAGATGGTCCTGATGAGCTGCCGTGAGTCAGGGATCCCAGGCTGGGTTGGGTTGGGAGGGACCTTAAAGCNCAGAGCTTCCTCATGGGGCAGCAGACCCAAAACACAGAGCAGCCTCTGGAGCTGCTGAGGGGACAGGAGGACCAGAGGCCACCGTGTCCTGTGCAGAGAAGGGCACAGGGCTGTCCCCAGCCCCTGCAGGGACACCTGTGGGTGTGCCAGGAGCTGGCAAGGACAGGAAGGCTGGGGGGGCTGAGCAGGGCAGGGACAGGAGGAATGAGCAGGGCTCACCCCAAAGCCAGGGCACTGAGCCTGAGGCTGCTGGGCCAGCTGCCCAAACCACCCCAAAACAGCCCAAAGAGAACAAAAACGGTCCCTGTCAGGCTGCAGAGGAGGGCCCTGCTCTCCTGAAGGATGCTCCTCATGCTGGGGAGGTTCTCCTGAAGGACACTCCAGTGTCAAAGGCTGAGGGGGATAAACCTCAAGAGAAGACCAAGGAAAAGGATTCTCCAGCCAAAACCAAAGAAAAGGAGTCTCAGGACACAAATAAGGAAACTCAAAATATAACTAAAGAAAAGGAATCTCAAGACATAACCAAAGAGAAGGAATCTCAAGAAGTAACTAAACAAAAGGAGTCTCAGGACACAACTAAAGAAAAGGAATCTCAGGACACAACTGAAGTAAAGGAATCTCAAGAAGTAACTAAAGAGAAGGAATCTCAAGAAGTAACTAAAGAGAAGGAATCTCAGGACACAACTAAAGAAAAGGAATCTCAAGAAGTAACTAAAGAGAAGGAATCTCAGGAAGTAACTAAAGAAAAAGAAACTCAAGACGCAGCCAAAGAAAAAGAATCACAGCCAAAGAAAAAGGACACAATTAAAGAGAAGGAATCTGGAGCCCCAGCTAAAGAGCCAGAAGAAGAAGGAGAGCAGAAAGTGGTGAAAGAGGCAAAGAAGGAGAGAGTGAAGGCAGCAGAGCAGCTCAAGGGCTACATGAGACCCACCAAGGCGCGGGGGGTGCCAGCCCTNCTCCTAAATCCAGACAAGAACATGGGAAGCCTGACTAGGGACATCTGATATGAATATTGAAGAAAAACAAAGCCATGTGAACACTCCTTATTTCCCACCAATGGTCATGTTATGATGTGTGGTCACTGCAGAACTGCACAGAGAGGATTGATAACACTTAGAAAACTCTGGAGATGTGTAAATCCCCAAAAGAGAGGATTCATGGACAGTGTTGCATCTTCCAGATAAGCAGGGAATCCCTGTGTGTCAGAAGTGGGAGGTGTCCCTTGAATGATCCCTTTGTTAACTTGTGATCTGAGAGAGTTAGGGGAACTCAGGTTTAAAAGGGAACATCAAATCCATTTCAGAAGCTTTCACTGATGGCTGAACACCACCATTCCTGCTGTATTAAGCTCAAGTTACTGCATTTGAGTGTCTTTAGAAGTAACTAAAAATAACAGAAGGCAAATGAAAGCCCAGGTGTAAAACTGTACTTTTCTCTGAGCTGGTGACTTTGGTTTGGTTCAAGTTTTCGTATCTTTTTGATAAAATAATATTAATTCAGTATTTTCAAACCTCAGAGATCAGGCAGTTGACAAACAAGTGCCTGAGCAGGGACAGCAGGAAAGAGTTTTCCCAGTGAGGGATGAGCTGTGGACGCCTGATTCTCATGTCCCTGCTGTTAAAACAAATTCCACCTTAGGGAGCATTGGTGCTCCTGAAGGGTGGGAATCTCTCCCAGGAGCATTGCTGGTGTTCTGCTGGTTCCATTTGATCCAGAAATCAAAACCTGCTCCCCAGCAGGAGAGGCCCCCACACAGCAGAGCTGACCAGCCCCGGGTGGGAGCTGCTCCTCTGCAGCGTCCGTGCTCCGTGTCCTGCCCTCCACACCACCACTCGCTTCTGCACGTCTCAATTATATTTTAATTGCATTATAACCTTTCAGCACTGCCAGGCTTCATTAAGTGCTGAGGCATTTCAGGGATTCCTGTTCCTTCCAGCCCCTCCTGGCCCGGGCTCTGCCGGGGCCGCTCTGACGCCGCTCGCTCCCTTGCAGGTCGCGGATGCGAAGCCCGCGGAGAAGAAAACCTCCCTCTCCAAGGCTGCACCCTCCACCACCCCCANTGAGGAAGGAGCTGAGGATGAGGAAGGAGCTGGTCCCTCTCTGTGGTTCCCCATGAGGGTTTTGTTTTGTTCCAGAGCTTGTTTACGTTCAAGAGGGAGAGTAAAGACAAGGATGGCCATTGCCTTATTGCTTAATCTATTTCTCTTAATGGATTTTCAGCTGATGACTCTAATCCCGATGAGAATTATGGAGCTGTTTCATTGAATGATGTTTTAGTTGAGCTTAGCCTGCTAAATATCCCTGGCTGGGGATGTGGGGCTGATGCCTGGCCTGGTTCACGTTGGGCTGCAGCTGCAGGCAGGGCAGGTGACACAGGGACAGCACCTGGGGATCCACCCTCCAACACCCGTGGAAATCTCCCTTATTAGAGGAAGAAAGGAATCATAGAGCAATGGGGAATGTCCTGGGGCAGGAGGGACCCACAGGGATCATTGATCCAACCCTGGCCCTGCCCAGACACCCCAAAATCCCACCCTGGCACTGCTGCCCAAACTCTCCTGGGGCTCTGGCAGGGCTGGGAGTGCTCCCGTGCCCTGGGCAGGCCCAGCAGCCTCTGGATGGGACACGAGGAGCAGCAAACCCCAAAAAGCAGGGTGGGGATCCAGATCCAGCCTTTGCCTCCCATAGGGCCAGAAACCAGGAACACCTCTGGCCTGGTGAGAGGAGCCCACGACAGCTCCTACCAGGGTCTGCCTTTTGGCATCAGGATGGAGTTTTGGGAGTTCTTGCTCTTTCCTAAGCTGCTGGTTGGTGTTGAGCTGCCCACAGGCGCTGCTCCTGAGCTCTGTGATTTATAAATCACGGTTTAACTTCAAAAAGATCCTCCTGGGTGCATTTCTGTAAGTGCTGTTGCCTCATTTTACTTCTTCAGGAAATACAAACAGCAAAGCTTTTCAGGCTTTGTGCCTGTTTGGGGTTTTCACGCAGAGTTGCAGCTTTTGTGAGAGCTGTTACTCCAAACTGAAGGTTTGTGTTTGCTCCCTCCTGGCTCAGCTCAGCATCACCTCACACCAGCTGGGACTCCACACTGGATTTGTAGGATGGAGGTGCCATAAGGATAATTCTGTGTGGCTTTCCTCCAGCACAGGGACTTGGAGGAATCCAGAAAGAGAAAACAAAAGAAAAAAACTCTGTCAATTCATAAATCCTAGTGTTTGAAAGAGGGAAATTTCAGGTGAAGATAAATGGAAAAAATCCTGGTTGTGAGTGTGGGGAGGTGCCCAGAGCAGCTGTGGGTGCCCATGGATCCCTGGCAGTGTCCCAGGGCCAGGCTGGACAGGGCTGGGAGCACCTGGGACAGTGGAAGGTGTCCCTGCCATGGCAGGGGTTGATGATCTTCAGGGTCTCTCCATCCCAAACCATCCTGGGATTCCATAATTCCATGTGCTTCCCTTTGAGTCCAATGTCTTGGTGCACACCTGGTCCTCCAGGGGCTCCCTGGAATGAGAGCTGTGATTAATGGATAGATAGATANGCTCAGGTGGATATTGGGAATGTTCCTCCTGGAAAAGGCTCTCCAGCCCTGGCCCAGCTGGTGGAGCCTCAGGTACATATTTGGAATGTTCCTCCTGGGAAAGGCTCTCCAGCCCTGGCACAGCTGGTGGAGGCTCTGGTGGATATTGGGAATGTTCCTCCTGGAAAAGGCTCTCCAGCCCTGACACAGCTGGTGGAGGTTCAGGTGGATATTGGGAATGTTCCTCCTGGAAAAGGCTCTCCAGCCCTGGCACAGCTGGTGGGGGCTCAGGTGGATATTGGGAATGCTCCTCCTGGAAAAGGCTCTCCAGCCCTGGCCCAGCTGTGGAGTCCCCATCTCTGGAAGTGTTCAGAAGCCTCTCCATCATTGCCTGGACTCTGACAGTGGCTCAAGTGTTCTCTCCAGGGCTTCCTCTTTCAAATTCCCTTCAGGTCCAACCTCCATCAGCTGTGTGCAATCCAGGGTTAATGCAATTACTGGACACACTTGATTTAAGAGTGGGCATTCCATTCCTTCTATATTTTGCCATAGGAACAGAATAAACACTAAATAAAAGTTCAAAAAAGCAAATCTTCAGAGGAGGACTTGTAACACCTGAACTGGTGTGGGAAATCCAAAAGGGTTGAGCAGAAGTGGAGGATTTTTAGTAGAGCAGGAAGAATTTGGAGCTGAAATCACATCAGCTTCATCCAAAAACTGTGTACCACTCGTGCTGCTGCTAAAGAGGGAACTTCCCATGAGTTCCACAGGAAACCTGAGCAGTGTTTTAGCTAAACTAACACTGTTCTCACTCCTCTTAATGGAACTTGAGAGATTTAACATTAGATAAGATTATAGTCAAGTCTTCTCAAGTCTTTTCAAATGGCTGGGCCTCAGTGGCAAAATTTGTCAATAAAAGTGTAAAATGAGACCGTTTGGTTTGAATCCCAAAGCATGGATTCCTATCCCAGCTTTCCCAAAAGAATTGTCATGTTTTAGGTGTGCTGGGATGGATTTGGCCTGATGGACATCCCAGACTTTATGTTCTGGGGGAAAATCTAATTAATCAAGTGTAGAGAAGGTGTTGCACGTTCCAAGAGCCACATATCCTGTCTGATAAACTCATTTTGTGAGTCAAACTCATTTTGTGTGGTCTTGGAGGCAAATGGGAGCCCGGGAATGCAGGATCTGTTCTAATGAGTTGGGCTCATTCCTGCTGCCCCACAAACAAAGCAGTGTTTGCTGCTGAAAGGAGACGGAGGCAGCGATGCAGAGCTGCAGGGAGCTGTTCCAAGAGGCAGGAGGTGCAGGGCAAGGGGCTGTGGCACCAGGAGCGTGGTGGGACCTGCCAGGCCACAGGCAGGGCCCTGGGGTGAGGGAGGATGAGGTCAGCTGGAGGGACTCCATGGGCAGGCTGAGAAATCTGGGTCTGGAAATGCACAGGGAAGGCAGGAATGGGAAGGGCAGGGGGTCCTGTTCTGGGTCAGGTGGAAGCAGGGCTGGGACAGAGGGTGGAAGGTGCCCTGGGGCCTTAAGGGAGCCATGAGCCCAATGCTCAGAGTTGAGTTTGGTTTGGTTTGGTTTGGTTTGGTTTGGTTTGGTTTGGTTTGGTTTGGTTTGGTTTGGTTTGGTTTGGTTGGGTTGGGTTAGGTTGGGTTGGTTTGGTTTGGGTTGGGTTGGGTTGGTTGAGTTTGGTTTGGTTGGGTTGGGTTTCATTTGGTTTGGTTTGGTTGGATTTGGTTTCATTGGGTTTGGTTTCATTTGGTTTTATTTGGTTTGGTTGAGTTGGGTTGGGTTTCGTTTGGTTTGGTTGGATTTGGTTTCAGTGGGTTTGGTTTCGTTTGGTTTTATTTGGTTTGGTTGGGTTGGGTTTCATTTGGTTTGGTTTGGTTGGATTTGGTTTCATTGGGTTTGGTTTCGTTTGGTTTTATTTGGTTTGGTTGGTTGGGTTTGGTTTGGTTGCGTTTGGTGTGGTTTGGTTTGGTTGGATTGAGTTGGGTTTGGTTGGGTTGGGTTTGGATGGTTTGGGTTTTGTTTGGTTTGGTTTGGTTTGGTTTGGTTTGGTTTGGTTTGGTTTGGTTTGGTTTGGTTTGGTTTGGTTTGGCTTGGTTGGATTTGGTTTGGTTTGGTTGGATTGGGTTTGAGTGAGATGTGGGTGGGAACACCTGGAGCTCTTGGGCTCACAGCTCTGGGGTGGCAGCTGCCATCAATTTCAGTCATTGCCTCACACAAAATCTGTGTGTAAAGGCCAGATTTGGCATTACATAGTTCCACTTTTTCAGGTATTTTCAGGTCAGTCATTTTCTCTGCCAAAGGAGAGCCGAGGGTTATGTGGGGCTTGATGTTTTGATTTTTTAATTTTATTTCTTCATTAGTTTTTGCCCCCCCCCTGTGGAAATGACTTTAATGTTTGTACAAGACCACGCTCAGCCCTTCAGATCAGGCACAGATCAAAGTCTGTCACACAGACCCTTGTCCCAGGGGCTCTCTCTGGGTTTTCAGCACCTCATGTTCACACAGAGAGAAGTGTTCAGCATTTGGCTCCCCACTGACACCAGCAGACAGAACATCTCTGTATATTAATGTAACATAATATTCCTCTCCCTTTTACACAAACCTAAGGCTGTTCTGTCTGTGCAGTTTCCCCAATTAAAGTTGTGGTCTCGAGGAATGAAATTAGGTTGATTTGCCAGCCCCTTGTTTGAAGTGTTTGCTATTAATTATGTATCCATCCTTTAGGCCTTATTAAATTATCCAAATGGGTTTCACCTCATTAGCTGGAATCTTATCTGGGGTGTTTAATTGAATGCTTTTAGCAAAGTCAGGGTGGAATGATCCAGACTAACTTGGCCTGTAGTTATCTGCCTCTTCCCCTTGGTCTTTTTGGTATTGATATTCCATAAAGGACCCTGACAGCTGCTGGAGTGTATCTAAAAAATCTGAGACTTAATGGAAATTAAATATTAAAAAATGAGGGTTTTCCTAATTTCTAACTTGGGTCTGTTCCATTTATTATTTCTTTTCAATGTTGCCTTCCTTTGGCCGTTGAAATGAAGCAGAATTTACCCAAACATGCTCATCACTGATAGTAAAACCCCTCCAATTTCATTATCAAAGACTTCCTTAAAATAAAGTCCCATTTCTATTTTTCAGTCCATGGTTTTGCCTTGATCAATTTGGTGTTTGTCTTTCTCCTGCTTGGGGAAGTGTGGCTGCATCCCTGGTTTAGAGTGTCCTCTGTGCAGTGTAATCAGGTCATGATCGTTGGGCTTTGCCCAAAGGCAGCTCAGTTTAGGGATTGATTTTTGGGTTTATACAATTTAAATAGCAGCCAAAATATGTGCAATAACTCCTGTGCAAGAAAATTGGCACTGGGCAGGACTGGTCTGGCAATGAGAGCAAGGTTGGGCAAGGACAAATGTGGGGCTGCTTTTGTTCCTTTTTAAAGAAAGGAAATGTTTTGGGGTAGGGTTTTTTGCTTGGTTGTTTTTTTGTTTTAGAAATGAAGATGGGGCAGGATTAAAATACTCCCAGTGAGTGCTGTCAGACCCAGGAAGGTAATGTGAGGAGAAAGAAAATGCAGCCCATCCCCAGGTGTGTGGTGTGACCAAGTGAGGATCCTTTGACAAGGATTGGTGCTCTGGCTGCCGAACACGAGGGGTTCTGGTGGCAGCAGGAGCTGCCCAGGCTGCAGGTGCTCCCAGGGAACAGTGAATCCTGGGCTGGTTCCAGGCTGGAACGTGCAGGGATCTCCCCTGATTGCTGTGTTTGTGTTGGCAGCCATCAAGACGGACGCGAAGCCGGCAGATGCCAAGAAACCTCCTGCCAAGTCTCCCTCAGGTAACCTCACCTCCCTCCTCACCTGGGCTCTGGGAAATCC